AAAAAAAAAAAAAAGTTGAGACATGTATGTATGTATGTACGTAAGTACGAACCTTCTTAGATGGATAAGTAGTCGGTAAGATCCATTAAAATGAACAAAATGGATTAACTTTGCTCCGCAGAAACAATTAAGATCCTGAGATCGGATTAGCAAATTATTTATTTATTTATAATAAATGTGATATAAACGTAATATAAATATATATACTGTATATATATATCATAAATATATATCATAAATAATATGTAAAAATTTAGAATTAAAGATATTAGGAATCAATATGAATTAAAAAAGATATAGAATGAAAAATACAATAAAGTAGTAAATCAGGAATTAACCAAATTAAACGATTTGAAATATTATCTTTATTACTATTATTTAATAATAATATTGTTTGTTAAAAGACTCCTGAGTTTCAAACGAATGAAGCAGATAATCACGCCTTTAAAATAAACAAAGTATGCGCATACATTTTTTAACGATACCATGTTTGTTACTTGGATGCCTTGTTTGTTATTTAGAATTTAAAGAATATATGAAATCGGATCATACGATTCGACTATTTATTGCATACAATGAAAGAATTTTGTCAGGTTAATAAAAATACTTTGACAGTATGTTTGGAACTTGAGTTTGGCACTAACTTGGCATTATGTTGGCAATGTGTTGGCAATGCGTTGGCAATGCGTTGGCAATGTGGTTGGGGTAAGCTGCATACTTCTTTACATAACTCACATAACTCACATAATTCACATAATTCAATAAATAAAATAAAATAAAACAATAACGGGAACGTATCTTTGAAAGTTTATGAACAAGAAAATAATAATCATGAGAATAACAAAATTTACCAAAATAATAATTCACTTGTGTTCTTTATCAGGGTACCTTTTTTTTAAAGTACTAAATACGATAAATTATAACCTTGGTATTGCAGAATATTGCATACATTGTCACAATCAGAAAAAAAAAGCAAAAATTGGGAATGCATTCATTTGAATTAACATTTACGGCTCTTCAATGAAGCGATGCTCCGATTGAAATAAGATTTTTACTGTATACATTCTATATACGTATAAATTACTATTTTACATTCTATTATAAATTCTATTATACATTCTCTTATACGTACATTCTATCATACATTCT